AAGCGCCCCCTTGCACCCTAAAGCGTCCCCTTGTGCCCCAAAATGTCCCCACCGCACCCCAAAGTGCCCCCGTTGTGTCCCCAAGTGTCCCCGCTGCATCCCAAAATGTCCCCTCTCTATCCCGCACTGTCCCAAACCCCTGTCACCACTGACCTGCCCTCCTTGTGTCCCAAAGCGTCATCACCGTGTCCCAAGGCCTCCTCGTGTCCCTGCCGTGCCCTTTAGTGTCCCCGTCACGTCCCAAAGCTTTTCAGTTGTGTCCCTTGCTGTCCCTTTCGCCCCCCACGCTGTCCCGTTTGTGTCCCAAATTGTCTCCATTGTGACCCAAAGTGTCCGCTGCATCCCAAAATGTCCCCTCTCTATCCCGCACTGTCCCAAACCCCTGTCACCACTGACCTGCCCTCCTTGTGTCCCAAAGCGTCATCACCGTGTCCCAAGGCCTCCTCGTGTCCCTGCCGTGCCCTTTAGTGTCCCCGTCACGTCCCAAAGCTTTTCAGTTGTGTCCCTTGCTGTCCCTTTCGCCCCCCACGCTGTCCCGTTTGTGTCCCAAATTGTCTCCATTGTGACCCAAAGTGTCCCGACCGCAGAGGGGTGACTCTGGGTGATGGAGGGGGGGGGGGGGGTCCCTTGCTGTCCCTTTCGCCCCCCACTTGTGTCCCAAACTGTCTCCATTGTGACCCAAAGTGTCCCCACCGCAGAGGGGTGACTCTGGGTGATGAAGGGGGGGGTGACATTCCTCTGGCAACCCCTCCCTGTTGTTGATGGTGACACCCGTGGTGACACCCGTGGTGACATTGTCTTTGGCCATGCCAGCCCCAAAAGGTGTCCCAAAGCCCAGGGGACGCGGTGACCTGCAGTGTCCCCCCTCTGGGGACGCTGGGGTCCCCTCCTCCTTGTAGGGCACAAGGGGCACATCTTGTCCCTGAGGGCCACCAGGAGCTCCTGGGCTGTGCCAGAGGTGTCCCCTGGGGGTGTCCCCGTGCCCTGCCAGCAGCGCCTCACCCTCGTGGCTGAAGGGGCTCTTTATTTGGGAATTTGGCTCTTTATTTGGGAATTCGGTGGCTTGTGCCGGACGCTGGCTCCGGCCATGGCACAGTCAGTGGCACTGTCCCCGCGGGCACTGCCCGGTTGGCCACCTCCATCCTCTCACCTGGGGACACCAGGTCCGTGCCGCTGGCCCCGGGGAGCTGGGGACCTCAGGGCTCCATCGTCCCCCCCACCCCAGATCCCACACCCCATCCCGGGGCTCAATCTCCACGGATCTGGCCCCGGTGGGAGCGGGTGGCAGTGGAGGACGGGGTGCTCGGGGTGTCCCCAGCTCCTGGGCTGTGCCGGAGGTGTCCCCTGGGGGTGTCCCCGTGCCCTACCAGCAACGCCTCACCCTCGTGGCTGAATATGAGCCGGCCTGTGCCCAGGGGGGCAAGAAAGCCAATGGCATCCTGGCTTGTATCAAAAATAGTGTGAGCAGCAGGAGTAGGGAGGTGATTGTGCCCCTGTGCTCAGCACTGGGGAGGCCACACCTGGAGTGTTGTGTCCAGTTCTGGGCACCTCAATCCAAGAGAGATCTGGAGGTGCTGGAGCGAGTGCAGAGGAGGGAGATGGTTGGACTCGATGATCCCAAGGGTCTCTTCCAACCTAGACCATTCTATGATTCTATGAAGGGGCTCTTTATTTGGGAATTTGGCTCTTTATTTGGGAATTTGGTGGCTCGTGCCGGACGCTGGCTCTGGCCATGGCATAGTCAGTGGCACTGTCCCCGCGGGCACTGCCCGGTCGGCCACCTCCATCCTCTCACCTGGGGACACCAGGTCTGTGCCGCCGGCCCCGGGGAGCTGGGGACCTCAGGGCTCCATCGTCCCCCCCCACCCCAGATCCCACACCCCACCCCGGGGCTCAATCCCCACGGATGTGGCCCCGGTGGGAGTGGGTGGCAGCGGGGGACGGGGTGCTCGGGGTGTCCCCAGCTCCGGTGCCTGTCCCTCAAGCCACATCCCGAGCAAGCCGGGCCACCGCGCTGCCCTTCATGGAACCCGTGATTGCCACCACCGAGGTGACACGCAGCCAAGTCCTTCCCCTGAGATGCTGCTCCTTCATGTCCCCGCTGTTGGGTTTGTCCCCATGCGTGTCCCCCGGGGTGGTTTTTAGCCATCGGGGAAGATGTAGCCGTACTGGTTGAGGATGTGCTCCACCACCTGGTTCTGGAAGACCATGTGCATGGCCATGTTGCCCTCCTCGCTCGCCGGCCGCAGCAGCGTGGGGCCGAAGACGATGGCGATGCTCTGCACCGACATGCGGTTCTCCTCCTTGTACTCGATCACCCTGCGGGGACGAGGGACAGTGTCACCCAGCACATCCCCAAAATCCAGGTCCTGTCCCCTTTCTGGGAGGCGGGGAGGTGTTAGGGGGAGTGAGGGTTAGGAGAAGTGAGGTAGGTGTCACCTGGAGAGGTGGCGGAAGAGGACCTTCATGGTGTCGTGGTGGGCGGGCGGGAGGGAGAACACCAGGTCACGGATACACTGGCCTCGTCTGGTCGGGTCCTGCATCTCTGCAGGGGGAGGGAAGACAGGATGGGATGTCGGATCCAGCAGCTGGAGCATCCATCCATCCTGTCCCATTCCCATCTTCATCCTCATCCTGTCCCATCATGTCTGTCCTTTCTCATGTTGTTCTGTGCCATCCCATCCCATCCCATCCCATCTCATCATGTCTGTCCTGTCCCATGTGTCCCACTGCATCCTGTCCCATCATGTCTGTCCCATCCTGTCCCATCATGTCTATCCCATCCCATCCCATCCCATCCCATCCCATCCCATCCCATCTCATCTCTATTCCATCCCCATCTCCATCCCCATCCCTATCTCCATCCCCATCTCTATCTCCATCCCCATCCCTTCCCATCCTCATCCCCACCTCCATCCCCACCTCCATCTCCATCTCCATCTCCATCTCCATCTCCATCTCCATCTCCATCTCCATCTCCATCTCCATCTCCATCCCATCCTCATCCCATCTCCATCCTCATCTCCATCCCATCCCAATCCCATCCCATCCCATCCCATCCCATCCCATCCCATCCCATCCTTGTCCCCACCCCTGTCCCTGTCCCCAGGACTCACTGATGGCAGCGATGAACTTGTCGAAGTGGCCGAAGGGGACGAGTGGCTCTGGCAGCTCCCGGAAGAAGAGCTTCAGTGCCCCGGTGACAACGTGGATGTCCTCCCAGCGCCCGTCATCCAGGTCCAGGTGCTCTTCTGTGGGGCCAGGGCAGCAGCTCAGGGTGGTCCCAGAGCTCCAGGGATGGGTGAGGGTCCCCGTCTCTCCCTCCCCATCTGGAACCCTGTCACCCTGCCTTTGGGGTGGGGGGCTATATCCCATTTGTCCCCCGTTGTCACAGCAGGTGACCTTACCGTGCTCCACCTTGTAGCGCAGCTTCTGGATGGTGGCCAGGTTGCCACTGACCCGGTACAACCCATCGATGTCCAGACCTGGCAGAAGATGACGGAGTTGGGGGGGGAAGATCCTGGCTAACCACAACCCACCCTGGGATGTGACACCAGCCACCACTGATGGAGCTCCAGGTACCCAACGTGTCCCCAGTGTCCCTTGGGAGATGCCCACAGTGAGGTGGCACATGGTGACATTGAACAGTATGGTCATGCCAATGCCTGGAGCAGCCAGCACTGGGCTTCCAGGGAAAACCCAACCACCAAATTTAGGCTTTACCCATGGTTGTCCCCATCCTGGTGTCCCCTGGGTTGTCCCCGTCCCCGGGTGGTACCTCTCCTCTCCACGGTCTGGATGCACTGCAGGACGAAGCGCGGCACCGTCCCCCGCTCCCGCTCGCACAGTGCTTGCAGGGAGCAGCCAAAAATCTGATCTGGAAGAACCAACGGGGACTTGAGTATGGCTGGGTGACACTGAAAGGGGTCTAGGTGGGTCTAGGGTGGGGGACAGGCTGGGGACATCGCAGGAGGGCCCCTTCCCATGAGGGGTGGCTGGAGGTGATGGGACGTGCTCAAACCCGTCACCGTGACATTGGGTCCAGGGCTGGGCTTGGTCCCCTAACCTTCTGTCCCAGCTCCGTTCCCAACTGTCTGCACCCACCTCCCAGCTTGGGGACATCCCGAGGGTTCTCAGCCCCATCCCAGCACCCACCCTTGAAGTAGCCCCACCACAAGGAACCCACCCTTGATGTAGCCCCATCTTGGCACCCAGCCTTGATACAGCCCCACCACGAGGAACACGCCCTTGATGTAACCCCACCATGAGGAACACACCTTTGATGTATCCCCATTCCAGCATCCACCCTTGATGTAGACCCACCCGGGGAACCCACCCTTGATGTAACCCCATCCCAGCACCCACCCTTGATGTAGCCCCATCTTGGCACCCACCCTTGATGTAGACCCACCCGGGGAACCCACCCTTGATATAGCCCCATCTTGGCACCCTCCCTCAATATAGCCCCACCACGAGGAACACACCTTTGATGTAACCCCATCCCAGCACCCACCCTTGATGTAGCCCCACCACGGAGAAGCCACCCTTGATGTAACCCCATCTTGGCACCCACCCTTGATGTAGCCCCATCCCAGCACCCACCCTTGATGTAGACCCACCATGGAGAAGCCACCCTTGATGTATCCCCATCCCAGCACCCACCCTTGATGTAGCCCCACCTGAGGAACCCACCTTTGATGTACCCCCATCCCAGCACCCACCCTGGATGTAGCCCCCCATGGGGAACCCACCCTTGATGTAGCCCCGCTCGCGCAGGGACTGCATCGTCGGCCGCCTCTGCAGGAACTTGCGGAGCTTGTTGCGGACTTTGCTGGAGTCGTTCTCCCCGCTGGCACTGCCCATCCCCTGCCCGGCTGCTGGGGGGGACAGGGCACAGGTCACCATCCTCCCAGGGGACTAGGGTGCTCCTGGCACGTCCCACCACCACAACGAGCTGGGGACACCGCAGGGTGGCCACCTCCCCTGCCTGGTTGGTGGTTTTGCTGGTGGCCATCCCCGTGCCAGGATGTCCAAGCTCACCTGCCCTCTTCTCCTCGCTGCCCCCCAGCTTCTCCCGGGAGCCGAATTCAGCCGCGCTATCGGTGTCGTCCTCACCAAGGAGGTCGGTGCCCTGGGGAAGGAGCAGGGTGAGACCCCCCGTGACCATCCCCAAGGTGGCCGGGCGGTGGGGTGGTGGGTGGGTGCTGGCTCACCATCTTGCCGATGCTGTCGGCGATGGCCTTCTGCCAGGCGGCGATGATCTGCTCCGAGTCGTGCTGGATGAGGAACTCGGAGCCCTCCCGCGTCTTCAGCTGCAGGAGCAGGGGACAGGACTCAGGGCAGGGCCACCAGGTCACAACCACCCAGCTTCGGGGGCCAGGTGATGGCTGAGAACGGCCCCCAACTCATTACACCAATGACCCCCAATTGCTGCCGTTTGCCCGCGAGCTGGGGTGGCTGGAAACCTCCTCCCCGTGCAAATCCCAAGAGGAAAAACCCCTCCAGGAGTGGGGATGTTCCTTTGGTGACATCTCCATGCCCATAGGAAAGGGATGGTGGCCAGCAGTGCAGTGTGTCCCTTTGGTCCTAGCCCTGTTGTCCCACCACCACCAACCCCAGCACGTCCCCTTCACTGCTGGTGGGATGAACCAGGCGGGTGATGGCATCACCACACGTGGACCTCGATGGGTGACCGATGTCCCCCTCGTTGTCACGGGGCTCACCTCCAGGACGTGCTTCTTGCTGGACTTGTCCTTGCCGGCCCAGGCGAGGGTGGCCCCGCGCAGCTCCACCGTGTGCTCGGGGGTGGTCAGGGTGCTGGGGTGACGCTGTAGGAGCAAGGGGATGAGGGTGACACCACTGGCACCCCCCCGGAGGGGACAGGGACATGGGGGGAGGTGTCTGTGGACTTTCCTCCTCCAGAAAGGCAGGAGTGGCAAATGTCCCCCCACCACGGGACATCTCTGTCCCCTCCCATGGCACTGGGGGTCTCTCTGCAGGACCAGGACATGGTGCTGCTGCCGTGGGGTGGGGTGTCCAGGCAGGGCTGGGGATGTCCCACCAGGTGTCGGTGGCTGTAGGACCTGGCTGTCCCCAAGCTGGTGGCCACCAGCTTGGGGACAACCAGGTCCTACAGCCACCGACACCTGGTGGCCACCAGCTTGGGGACAACCAGGTCCTACAGCCACCGACACCTGGTGGCCACCAGCTTGGGGACAGCCAGGTCCTACAGCCACCAACACCTGGTGGCCACCAGCTTGGGGACAGCCAGGTCCTACAGCCACCGACACCTGATGGCCACCAACTTGGGGACAGCCAGGTCCTACAACCACCGACACCTGGTGGCCACCAGCTTGGGGACAAACAGGTCCTACAGCTGCCGACACCTGGTGGCCACCAGCTTGGGGACAACCAAGTCCTACAGCCACCAACACCTGGTTGCCACCAGCTTGAGGACAACCAGGTCCTACAGCCACCGACACCTGGTGGCAACCACCTTGGGAACAACCAAGTCCTACAGCCACTGACACCTGGTGGGACATCCCCAGCCCTGTCTGGAGACCCCGAGGGTCTTCAGCTTCAGGGTTCCTCTTGGTGACAGCCCCTCGTAGGAGCAGCATTCCATGGGGAAAGGAGTCCGGGTGGCTGTCCCCAGGGAGGGGACAGTCCCTTGGGGTTTCCACAGGGGGAAGGCCATCAGACCCTCCTGCTCTCCCCACCCCCCGGGGTTTTGGGGTGCTCTGGCCACTCTTCCCCTCCCGTTGGCCCCTCTCCTCCCCCCCGGGGGTGTGAGTCCGTCCCTTCTCCTTCCCCTGTCTCTGTCACCGCAGGGTGTTGCAAGACCCACGGCAGCTTCTGCATCCGGGCAGCGGGTGGTGGGTGTTGGGGGTGGGCTCCTTCATATGGGTTCCAGCCCCATCCCATGGGTCCTAGCCCCATCCCATGGGTTCCAGCCCCATCCCATGGGTCCTAGCCCCATCCCATGGGTCCTGGCTCCTGCCCATGGGTCCTAGCCCCATCCCATGGGTCCTGGCTCCTGCCCATGGGTTCCAACCCCATCCCATGGGTCCCAGCCCCATCCCATGGGTCCTGGCTCCTTCCCATGGGTTCCAGCCCCATCCCATGGGTCCCAGCCCTATCCCATGGGTCCTGGATCCTGCCCACAGGTTCCAGCCCCATCCCATGGGTCCTGGCTCCTTTCCACGGCTTCCAGCTCCATCCCATGGTTCCTGGCTCCTGCCCATGGGTTCCAGCTCCTTCCCATAGGTACTGGCCCTGTCCCATGGGTATGAGCCCTCTCCCATGGGGCATCTCGTAGGAGCTGGCCTCATCCTGTGGTTGCTGGCCCTGACTCATGGGTGCTGACCTTATTCATGAGTGCTGGCCCCATCCTATGTGTGCTGGCCCCATCCTACAGGTGCTGGCCCCATCCTATGTGTGCTGGCCCCATCCTGCAGGTTGCTGGCCCCATCCTATGTGTGCTGGCCCCATCCTGCAGGTTGCTGGCCCCATCCTATGTGTGCTGGCCCCATCCTGCAGGTTGCTGGCCCCATCCTATGTGTGCTGGCCCCATCCTGCAGGTTGCTGGCCCCATCCTATGTGTGCTGGCCCCATCCTACAGGTGCTGGCCCCATCCTATGTGTGCTGGCCCCATCCTGCAGGTTGCTGGCCCCATCCTATGTGTGCTGGCCCCATCCTGCAGGTTGCTGGCCCCATCCTATGTGTGCTGGCCCCATCCTGCAGGTTGCTGGCCCTCCTATGGGTTCCAGCCCCATCCCATGGGTCCTAGCCCCATCCCATGGGTCCTGGCTCCTTCATATGGGTTCCAGCCCCATCCCATGGGTCCTGGCTCCTTCATATGGGTTCCAGCCCCATCCCATGGGTCCTAGCCCCATCCCATGGGTTCCAGCCCCATCCCATGGGTCCTAGCCCCATCCCATGGGTCCTGGCTCCTGCCCATGGGTTCCAGTCCCTTCCCATGGGTTCTGGCCTCATCCCATGGGTTCCGGCTCCTTCCCATGGGTTCCAGCCCCATCCCACAGGTTCCAGCCCCATTCCATGGGTCCTGGCTCTGTCCCATGGGTTCCAGCCCCTTCCCATAGGTGATGGCTCTGTCCCATGGCTATGAGCACTCTCCCATGGGGCATCTCGTAGGAGCTGGCCTCATCCTGTGGTTGCTGGCCCTGACTCATGGGTGCTGACCCCATCCTACAGGTGCTGGCCCCATCCTGCAGGTGTTGGCCCCATCCTACAGATCCTGACCCTATCCCATGGGTCCTGGCTCCTTTCCATGGGTTCCAGCCCCATCCCATAGGTGCTGACTCTGTCCCAGGAGTCCAAGCCCTCTCCCATGGGTGCTGGCCCCATCCTCATGGGACCTGGCCTCATCCTGTGGTTGCTAGCCCTGACTCACGGGTGCTGGCCCTATTCCGCGGGTGCTGACCCCATCCAGCGCTCACTGGCCCTGTCTCACGGGTGCCAGCCCTGTCTTGTGGGTGCTGGTCCCATCCCATGGGTTTTGGTCCCATTCTATAGCTGCCAACCCCACCCTACAGGTGCTGGCCCCATCCCATGTGTGCTGGCCCCATCCTGCAGGTCCTGGCCCCATCCTGCAGGTGCTGGCCCCATCCTGCAGGTTGCTGGCCCCATCCTATGTGTGCTGGCCCCATCCTACAGATGCTGGCCCCATCTCATGGGTGCTGGCCCCATCCCACAGCTGCCAGCCCCATCTCGTGGGCGCTGGCCCTGTCCTACAGCTATTGGCCCTGCCCTGTAGCTACTAGCCCCATCCCATGGGTGCTGGCCCCATCCCATGAGTGCTGGCCCTGTCCCATGGGTGCTGGCCCCGTCCCATGGGTGCTGGCCCCACCGAGGCCGTTGGGGCTCTTACCAAGGCACCAGCAGCCGAGTGCTTGGAGTCCTTGAAGAAGGTGAGGATCCCCCCCTCCAGCACCGTCCAGGAGGAGCTCCAGTTCTTCCTGGGGAGCAGAGGGGGGGTCACACAGGGGGACAGCACAGCCCTGTCCCCTCCACCCCCCTGGGGCTCCCTCCTCTGCTGGTGGGGGACACCAGGACGCGCTTACCGGAGCCGCTTCCCTCTGTCCACCGTCTTGGTCCGGTTGAGCACCCCGGCTTTTTCGAGGCTTTTAAACTGGAAGAGGAAGGGTGGAGGGGGAGGATGTCAGGTTTGCTCCCTGCCCTCCCCGGTGCTGGGGTGGGGAAGGGTCCCCCGTCCCTCCCTGGGGTTCTCACCTTCTCCTCCTTGAGCCCCAGCGCCGGGGACACGGGGCTGTGCCAGGCAAAGAGCCCGCTGTCCTGGCTGGAGCCACTGCTGGCCCGCTTGTGGCGGCCACTGGCCGGCACCTGGGGAGGGAGGGAGGGAGCGGGTGATACCTGAGGTTTCCATCCCCATCCCTGTCCCATCTCTGTCCCTATCCCTGTCCTCATCCCCCTCCCCATCCTCGTCCCTGTCCCTGTCCATATCCCATCCCTGTCCCTGTCCATATCCCATCCCTGTCCCCATAGAATCATAGAATCGTCTGGGTTGGAAGGGACCTTAAAGATCATCTAGTCCAACCATCAACCTAACTCTGACAAAAAAATATATAAGAAATAAGCAATAAAAAATCTTTAAACCATATTCCTGAGGACCATGTCAACCCATCTTTTGAACACCTGCAGGGATGGTGCCTCAACCACTTCCCTGCGCAGCCCATTCCGATGCTGGATAACCCTTTCCATGAAGAAATGTTTCCTAATCTCCAATCTAAACCTCCCCTGGCGCAACTTGAGGCCATTTCCCCTTGTCCTGTCTCCTGTGACTTGGGAGAAGAGACCAACCCCCGCTTCTCTACACCCCTCCTTCAGGTAGTTATAGAGCACGAGAAGGTCTCCCCTCAGCCTCCTCTTCTTCAGACTGAACACCCCCAGCTCCCTCAGCCTCTCCTCATCAGACTTACTCTCCAGACCCCTCACCAGCTTCGTTGCCCTTCCATCCCAGTCCCTGTTCTGGTCATCGTCCCCATGTCCATCCCTGGCCCTTTCCTTAGCTCTGTCCCCATTCCCATCTCTGTTCCTGTCCCATCTATATCCCCATCTCTGTCCCTATCCCCATCCTCATCCCTGTCCCCATCCCCATCCTTGTCCCTCTTCCCATCCCCGTCCATATTCCCATCCCCATCCCATGTCAGGATGTGACATCCCGTGTCCCGTCCCCGTCCCCGTACCGTGTCGGAGGTGAAGTGCTCGGGGTAGAACACGGCTCCCTCGGGGTGGCTGTGTCCGTACCATCCCGGGGGTGAGCCCAGCTCCTCGGGCCGCCTCACGGACAGAGAGAAAGCAGCCCCCTGATCGTAGGAGCCCACGGGCGAGTAGTCCTCCTCGGGATAACCCTCCAGCTCATCTGGAGACAGGTCAGGATAGTCTGTTTCCGGAGTGGGAGGCTGCAGAGAAAAGCCAGGTCAAGAACTTATGCCCTATCACGAGCATCCACATCCTCAAGCCATGGCCAGCCCAGGTGGAGGCTGCTCCATCTTTGTCATCTCCATCTAAACCTCCATTTCTGTTTCCATCTCCATGTCTATCCCCATCCCAGTCCCCACCCTCATCCCCATCCCTGTCTCCATCTCCATCTCCATCTCCATCTCCATCTCCATCTCCATCTCCATCTCCATCTCCATCTCCATCTCAATCTCCATCTCCATCTCCATCTCCATCTCCATCTCCATCTCCATCTCCATCTCCATCTCCATCTCCATCTCCATCTCCATCTCCATCTCCATCTCCATCTCCATCTCCATCTCCATCTCCATCTC